TTTTTTTCCTGTATGTTTGGTCTGTGGAGTTTCGAGCTTTTAAGAGGCTAAGAAGAAGAGCAGATGAAAAGAGAGAAGGTATATAACTGGAGATTTATTTCAAGTTGTAGCCCTAGATTGGACGGTAGAGATCTAGTTAAATATTATCGGCTTAGATCAACGGCTGGGCTTTGTTGGGAGATTAATTGGGCCGTGACAAATAGTTTTGAGGCTGTCCAGTAAGATATTAGACTGCTTTGAAAATCTAAAGCCCAATACTAACGAGCTTTTGAGACTCGAGCTTCAGCATTCATCGAACGGAGTCAGAGATTAACAGGCGATAAATATTTAAAGATTATTTAAAAACCTTTATTCTCGAGGCTTAACGATTCGAGTTGAAGTTATTAACTAAGCGAGTTTTAGACGGACTAGACCTTAGCTCCTTTGATGAAACAATAAACCGAGTCGTGTTCGAGTTTTAATGAGTCAAACTGAATTGAGTTCATGCTCGTTTTGTCTCACACTTTTTCAAGATTTCTCAAGTATGAAAAGATTTGTGTTTAAATTTATTTTATTTACGAATAAAATAAGGATTGTAAAAAATATTTATTGAATACAAAATCAAATTCTTACTTTTTTTTCATTGAATGTCTGAGAATTCAAATGTTGCCTTGCAGGCAAATTGGGAAATATAATTTATATATCATTTTCTTATTTATTTTTTTCTTTATTTCCTTTTTGTCGTCTATATAGTTATTTATTTTTGTTACAATTGTACAGCAGTTTTTGTTACTATTTATACTTCTACACTAGCTTAATATTACACTTTCAATAAGGGAAAAGCAAAAAACAAGGCTCCACATAAACCTTCCTGCCTGTAAAACTGATGCAGTTAAGTTTATTCTGGCACCATAACATTTGATCTGTGGTTAATCTTGAAAGAAAAAGAACCCTCGAAACCAACCTCAACTCGACTTGAGAAGTCGATAAATCCATGTCCGAACGACATTTTTCGAGTTTCTTAAATTTCTTTACGATGCACTTTTGACATCGAATGTGGTCTCTGATTCTTCTTTCCTTCTGCAAAAAATAATCGAGATCAACTCACATTACCATGTTAATTAAGATTATAAAATAATCGAGCAAACGATTAGTTAGTTAATCATGTATACCTTCTGAAGATTTGAGATGGTCTCAACTAAAAGCTCTGCATTTGGAGAGTGTTTAGGATGAAGTTTAGTTCCTTGGATACCCTTTAGAACCACGTTTGTCGAACATTTATCGGCCAAAACAAATTCACGGAAAATAATCATTGATTCTCTGATAATTTCCGATAGTTTCTCGAGCGAAATCACTTCCATTTCATCTCGCGTTTCCTTATTAGCCTTCAAACAATCGCCTGTGTTTCACAAATTGAAAACCAACCGACAATCAAACATTGGTTGCATGTGCCGGGGAAAAAAAGGCTTGAAAAAATGTTTAGACTATTTTTGGTAAAACTAGCTGATAGCTTATAAGTTATTTTCGAGCTTATAGCAAAAAGCCAACTTATATGATAAAAGTGTTTGGTAATATTAGTTGATAAGCTAGCTGAATAAAAATTCAACGAGCTTATTTAAAAAGTTACAGAAAGAACTTATGAGATAAGCTCGAACTTTTTAAAAAAAAGCTCGTCCTACCAAACAAAACTTATTTTGAATACATGAATCTTATAAGCTAACCAAACAAGTTATAAGCTAACTTATATGATTACCGAGCACAACCTTAACATTAGTGTTTTTTTAGGGGCATTTTTACAAAATGGGAACTCGATAAAAGGTGTATCGATGAAAAAGGTTGCCAATCACTTCTTCATTCATTATATTTTTTTTGTTTTTTTTCAAATATCGTATTCTTTACCTTTGATCATCGGGACCTGAAGAAGGCCGCGTATAGTAAGCCGAGTTCTAACATAATTCGGAATTCTTTGCCCTTGAAACTCTTCATTCTCCATAAACCTCTGCAACAGAACTTGAAACTGCTGAAATTCCTCGGCAGCTCGGTTGTACGAGTGCTTTCCTTTACAGTCATGTTTCAGTAATTCTCTCGATTTTACGTACAACCAACGTAAAATTTCTGAAGAAAGACAAAGTTGTCCCACATAGACCAATTCCAAATCATGATTCATTTCGATAATCGACTTTTGTGATGGATCGGCATGGATCTTCGGGACTTTGGTAGGCCAAAGTTTTGGTAAATTTATAAAAGTTACCAAGTCTGTTTTTTTCTTGCTCGTGGTAAAAACTTCTGAGTCTTTCAACTGGAGGAAACCTAAAACAAATTCATTTGAAAAAAATAAAAAATCGCAATAAATAAGATATAGTGTTCGACATTTCGGCTGCACTAAGTTCATGAAAAGAAAAGGTATACTTTTCCATTACTTAAGAATGCAGTAAATTAATGGAGTCAAGTGTTTGTGCTGAGTTAGCAATGCACAAAAGGATATGCAGAGTGATCACTAATTCACTACTTTATTGGAGATGATCATATAAATACAGAACTGACTATAACAACTCAAAAAATTCATCCTGATAATTAAAAAATAAAAAGAAAAAGAAAATACAGTTCTCTTTCAAGATTACTAATACCCTCTCACAACGTCAAGAAACCCGTTTTGAGTTTTTCAGAATGCAATTTATCGAAGATGGCAAAAATTCCTCGATGATATTTTCTTATTCGGAAAAACAAAATCACCTTTTTCTTTTATACCCTTTTGTGATTGTACCATATTGGAAGTAGTTTTCACAAAAGCCTGATAAATAAAGGTTCATCACACAAAATAAAGTAGCCATTGCTAGAGATTTACATATGAATTTAGCAGCACATCTCAAAAGGGCACATCAAAGGCAACATCAAAGATGTGTTTTTGTCCTAGAAATTTAGTGTCACCAATAAAATTAGCAAAATGACAGTTTTATAAAAAGACAAAGATGAAACAAATTATTAGACTTACTCATTGCATGCAAGGTTTGATAATTCAAGACGTCCAGTTTGTGCATTTTCTCCGAGTAGCTTTTGTAGAACTTGTGAATCTCGTCCATTACATCTTTGTACTCGATTTTATGGTTGATTTCAAGAGGTCTCAAATCCTCGGCCATCTTAGGAGATTCTTCACACTCTTCAGATATTGTGGGAAGCTTTCCTCTAACCTTGCAATTTTTCATCTCCATTTTAATCTGCCGGACTAAGTTCTGATGCTCCCACAGAACATCGTTTTCATCCTCGTCATCATCGGAAAAATCAAAATTCTTGCTTTCTCGGGAGATATTAGCTTCACTATTATTACAAAAGCGAGTATTTGCAGAAGAAGGTTTGAATTCAATGTACTCATCGTCCGAATCCTCAACTTTTTCCATGCTCGGCAAAAAATTCTCGATAGCTAATCGTTTATCGTTAACATCGTGCTCATTTTCATTGGTGGGCTTGATTTCATCATTCCCTATAATTTCCGATTCTTGATTTGCATCAACGGCAGAGAATTCACTGTAAGGGAGTAACTCAACCTCATAAAAATATTCTTGATCATCCAAAATTTCTTCTTTCATAGGCCTTGCTCCTTTAATTTGAAAATCTTTGGAGTCATTTGAGCTCATTTTTTCTTTCTCCTCACAGTTCTTTTCATCCTGAAGATTTCTATTATCTGCACTTCCCATATCAATATTCAGCAGATTAAAACGAAAGGAAAGGGCGCTTGAGTTTTCATGGAATTCCGGTTCATCTTTATCCAAATCCGGCTCAAATGAGTTCATCTTTATCAAATGAGCTTCATCTGACCCCAAAAACATCTCTTGAACCAAAAAATTCATTTCTTTCGGCTCTTCGAGTTGGAAACTGACATTTTCACCGGAGATAAATTCATACTTACTGCAGCTAGAAATCAAGCCACTTTGCAAGAAAACAGATTCCCCTGTCTCTGCAACATTTTCACCTAAATCCTTTTTGCTGTTTTCATAATCCAAATAACTCTCTTTTTCAGCAACCCCACTTGATAAAAAACCTGTTGAACTATAAGAAAATACTTCATCATCCTTTTCAGAACGATTTTCGCTCAAATTTGAACTATTCTCTTCAACCACACCATGATTTGATCTGGGCCCAAACCAAAAAAAAAAAAGATGATCAAATACACACAGTCACACACACACACAGACACAGAAAGAAAAAAAAAAAATCTAGAAACACAGTTCAAAAAGATCAAAAGTAGTACCTTTTTGCATACTTAGATATGAACCCAACAATCTTGATGATCAATCTGTACACAGAAGCCAAGAAAATACTACCAAAACTGAACATTGGTTTAGGCATAAACACAAACAGATGGTGGGCAAACTTGTGACTATCTGCACTAATAAAGAGACTCATGATCATCGATAGATCAAACTGGAAATGATTGTTTCATGGCCAAGTAAAAGGAAAAGGTTGTGACTATGAAAAGCTGTGCATGGGTTTTTTTTTTCCTATATATATTCAGACAGTACTGAATAGATCGAGGAAGAAGAATTTTCTTTGGAGAAAGTGGTCCGACCACTGAAGAGACGCCTAAATTTGTGGACCCAAAAAAAAAATCTAACAGAGGACGTTATAAACTGGTTTTCTGGTAGACTGGTAGTTAAGCTTAATGTCTAATTTCCTAAAAAAATATAAAAAGAATAAATAATATAAATTGTTTAAAGTCTAATTTCCTAAAAAATAAAAAATAAATAAATAAATAAATGATATAAGTCATTATCATGTGCTCGAGCTCCTGATACTCGAGATCGGGCATTCATCGAGTTTCGTTTAATGAGTATGAATTCGATTTGTTGTCAATATTAATGAGTCAAACACATGTCTTAACAAACTAAACTATATAAAATTACGTAAAATAATTATATTTTCGAGCTTTAACGAAACTCGGCAAACCATTTCATTGCAGCTATGTTGATGTTTAAAATATAATTTAATGTCCATTTCTGTATAATAAAATGACTATTGTTTTCTAAATTTAAAAATAATAAAGAGTATTAAATATTAATTTTCTTGAAAAAATATCTGAACCGTTGAGTGGACCCTTTAACCTTCTCATGAGGGTTGTCGGTTAGATTTTGGAAGACTTCAATTTGACACGCATTCTGTGAGGGACGCAATTAGTCAGAGTATACTTTTGCGGTAGAATGACCAAATTAAAAGAGTTATGTTTGGTTAGGCTCATTTATTAAATTCCTTTTGTATATAATTTGTGAAACTAGTATAGAGCTCGTGCGGAGTACACAATTTTAAGATCATTTATCCATTCTTATAATTATATAAATGAATAAAAAAAATGTACGAGATATATATAGTACGTGACCTGTAATAGGCCAAAATGTGAACAAGGGTGATGCACGAGGTGCACAATTTTAAGGTCATTTATTAGTGCATACCCCGCGCGATGCACGTGATACATATAATAAATCAATTATTTCTATAGGACTTGTACGTCTAGACAAAAAACAATAGGCTTGGATCATCCATATTTCACATCTTTTAATAAGTGACGTTTATTTAAGCCAAAAAATTAGCATGTTAATTAATATATAATCCCGCTAACACGTCATACTAATATTTATTTTATTATAGAATACATATTTATTCATTGATATAGGAAAAATAAAAATTTTATTAATTATTTTTCACCATATAATACTCAATTATATTTTATTACAAAATTTACAGTCATATAATGTAATTATTATTATTTATAAAAGTTATAGAAGTAGTCTTCTTTATGTAATGAAATTCAATAAAATTTTGAGTATAAATGTTTACAAAATACACACACATGTTTTTTAGAATTCAATTTTCTCAAAATAATTATTTTTTTTTTTTAAAATGATTTAGCAATTGCCAAAAAATAAATCCCTTACATAATCAAGAGATTTTTTCTAATTTTCATCCTAAGGCTTTATAGTTTATTTAACATACTATGCAATAGAAAAATATTTTACAATAAGTTCATTTTTTAAACATAACAAAAAAAAGTGATAAAAACACTATCATAGTTGACAATAATATACAAATAAATAACATGTTGAAATTTTAAAGAATAACTATAATTTTATTATCTAACCATCAATAAAATCATTTAATGATGTGATCATTATCTTTTAAATAATAAATAATATTAATTTTTTAAAAAAAAAATATTAGTGTTATATAATTAAATAAAGGTTAAAAAATATTACTCGACAAATATTAATTATAATAGATATCAGTAAAATCATTGCATAAATTATTTAAGGAAAAAATCTTGAAGATCATATTTGGATAGTAAATGTAAATATGCAAGCATTTAATGCATATAGTAAAAAATTTCCAAATAAAGTATGCATTAAATGTGTGTTGACTTTTCTTGCTACTGTTTTTGGTAAATAGGTTAGCTTTTAATATATATATAGATAGGTGGAGTTAAAGGAAGTAAATGAGTTGCGCATGGTTGTTAACCAAACTAGACCATAAAAGATATGGAGTTTGGCTTGCTAATTCATATTGACGAGTCATATTAATGAGTCATATTCGAGTCTTAATTAAGTAAAACTATATAAAATTCTTATCTTCATGTTTTAATCATGTTTTAATAAGTTGAGTTTTATTAAGTAAATAAGCGTTCAACGAACTCGAACTCTACTCGTTTATCAAACAAGTCGATCTAAGCTCACAAACGGTTCGTCTCGTTTAATAGTTCTAGGTTGATGGATCCATCATATTTTTTTTAATAAAAATGCATACTTCTTTTATGAAATGTCATACTCATATTTATATTGTCATCCAAAGTATGACATTTCAATTTAAATAATAAAAAATACACATATTTGTTACAAACAAACGATTTTTTAACCTTTAGACACGCATAGCAATAACATAACTAGTTTGCTTCACATACACACACTTTCATACTCATATTTGACATAGTTTTTTTTTTTTTTTTTCAAAACGATAGGTTTTATAGCTCAAGAATTTGTACGGGGGCTAAATAGCCCAATACACATCCACAAGAACGACAGAGGCACTACAAGGCCTAGAAAGCAAAACCACTTAGCAGATAAATTCATAATCCCCCAGCTAATACAAGGCTTAGTGCCCGGGGTTATGTTCATATTTAACATAGTTACATAGTTAAAGATGACTTCTAATCAATTGCATATGCTGTAATATTGTAGAAATCATGCTACATAATAGAAAATTTGGCATGGTAACACATGTCATGATCCTTTGACATTACAAATCGAACCATTATTAAAACCAACAACATTTACGTTTATATATTCTATTGGTCATCCTTTATATCACCAAATTATAATAATAGTTTTATCCACGTAAAATAATTTGGTAGCATGGACATTGATTGAATCTTTGAGTACAAACTTGATTGTAGACATGATCATAAGCCGAACCAGACTGTCGATTCGGCCCAAATCGACTCAGAACCGGCCCTTGGTCAACAAGCCTCTTGAACTGAGCCAGTTGTTTGACCGCGTCAGTTCCTAACCATATTATTTAAATTTTTTGAACTGTCGATTCAGTTTCGAATTGAAATCAGAACCGACAATTCGACCTTTTTATTTTTAAATAGAAAAAATTAATGATATGAGCTGACGCGGAAGCGCCGGTATACCGACCCGACCTATATGGACTGGTTCAGGGCCTTCGAAACCACAACCCGGAACAACTATTTGGCCACCTCTACTTATTGTTTAAAGGTTTAGGGTGCTATTCCTAAACATTCCTTAACTAATGTAAATGAGGGCTATTCGTTGGTCAACACATTTTAATATTTATTAGCCAATTTTTCTGCACACTTTCATCCAAGAAATAAATAAGATCCCGTCGGCAAATGGCTTGAACATGATGTTATTGGGTTGACTTTCGCACGTCGTGTTTTGATTTAATGTTCGTCCGACACGGGCCTTCTTTTATTGTACCCAAAATATATATATATATATATCCCAACTTGACAAAATGAATAAACACTGCATACATTCTTCACAAAGTCCTTGTGGAATTAAATTCCAATCTTTTACAAAAGGGAACCTAACCTAGTGATCCCATACTCATCCAAACAGAACATTTTCTATGAACAAAATCTTACAAGAAAATTTAGAATTGGGACAAAAAAATAAATAAAAGTAAAGATTCTTTATATATTGAAATTAAATGCACTTCTTCGTTGATAGGAACATTCTGAATTGTTGACTCGTGTTTGTAATTTGATCGTCAATTATTAATGATGTAGAGTCTATTAGATTTCATGTTCAAGTGAAAAAAAGAAAAACAAAACAAAATAAAATAAAATGTTTGTATTTTTATTCTTCAATAATATAAATATTTTTGGGCGGTGCGTGGAAGTTATGCTGCATGTGTACGTAACAATACGTGTTACATATTCTTGCCACTATTTTTTTGTTGACCCCATAACCCATAAATTTTTTGGGGAAAAAAAAAAAAGGTTAGATCATAGTGTAGCCAAATGGTTATATTAATTTGAAGTCTTATTAATGGATTGATTTAATTCAACGTATGATTTATATTATAGGAAAATGCTACGGTCTCGTCATGGAATCATTTCGTCAGAATTTGTAATCGTTAGATCAACTATCTTTGATGGTTACATGATGATCTAATAGTTACAAACCCTAACAGAATAGTTCCGTAACAGAACCTTAGTATTTCCCTATATTATTTATATATTGACTTCAATGCACTAAAAAATTATATCATACCATAGCCCAAAAAATAAAGATCAATAAAAAGAAGTAACAAATTATTAATTTTCTTTTACGATTAGTAAAAATGACAATGATGGAAGAAAATGTGAAATTTCAATAAGTATTATTTTCATAGAAAATAAAAATTAAAAGCAAAGTTGTCCATAAATAGTATATTTCAACATGCGTTCGACTGCAAGACCATGAGGAAGGCGAAAACAAGATGAAGGCCAATGTGTAAATTGGCCCTATATCAGCGCCCACCTTTTAAACTAAGAGGAATTTGCACCCTCCACTTAAACAATCTAAGAATATTACATAATTACATCTTCTATATAATTATTTACAAATTAGCTAATTTTGTTATATTTATTTGCATATATGCCTAAAAACTAATTTCCTACTTACATGGTAACTTCCCATTAAATACATCTCTATCCTCTCCCTCCTCTCTCTCTCTTTTCTTCACACACGGCTCTCTCTTTTCTTCTCGCACAAAGCCACCGCCACACCAACAGAGTTGATGGCTTGATGCTTGTTGAGATTTATTTACATCACTACAGGACAAATGATGTCCCTTTTATCCATTGATTAATTTGTAGGTGCAACTAATTTTGTTTCCTTCTAAAATTTCCATTGTCTTGGATCAAAAGCTCCACAATTTTGTTTTAAAATTTTTGTGATCGAACACCTTTTCGCTTTAGATCTTCTGATATGATGATTAATTTATATTTACTCCCGTTTCGACTGAATCAATCGACTCCTCCAATCCCTCTTCTCACATCCGCCACATCCTCTGATCCCCTTTCCGTCGCCGCCTTCGCTTGCTAAAGCACCGCCGCCCCGCGGGTGAGAATATTCGCGACGGCCCGCCGCCGCACCTCGTCCCACGACTTCTCCGCCCCTTCAATGCCGACCCATCCTCCACCGAGTCCTACTCCCTCGACGAGATCGTCTACCGAGCCATCCCCGCGGTCGACATCTTCAGGTAGGCATCCGAGAATCGATCTCCATTGAGTCGACGACGGAGAAGAGGAATATCTTTCTAGAGGATGATCTATATTCAGTATATTTTTAGTATTTTTTCAGTATTTTTTCATCCCCCCTCATATTGTATCGTGTTTGTATCGTTTTCCCCGTTATAGTATGGTTTATATTCAGTATATTTTTGGTATATGTATGGTTTATATTTAGTAAAATTATAGAAAATATATACAATACATACACCATTCTTACGGTTTGTGTATATGATGGTATATGTCGCGTTTATGTTAATATATAACTTTTTTTAAAAAAAATATCGATCGGGCCTCCATTGTTTTGTGTTATGTTGTGGTATATGTACAGTATATGATCGGTATATATACAATATATATGAAAAATATACCTTTTTTTGACCTGGTAGGATGAAGGAATATACCTGGAATAAAATTCAACTTTTTTTTGTGGTAATTTGCGTAACTTTTTTAAGAGTAAAATTCAAAATGCATTTTTTTTAGCAAATGGATGGAAATCACAGGCTAAAGAATGAGAGAAAGTTGAATTGTTATGGTAATTGAATCAGACAAATTAAATGCACGTGGAGAGTGGTTAGAATTAATTGGTAACTGTCATTATCCATTAATGTAGATAAATATTATCTTTTAGGCAAAGTCACAATTAATTGTATGTGTGTGGTAGAGTTGTAATTTTTTTTAAAACGTGTAGGAGGGTTGAAATTTTCCCTTAAACTAACGAGTCACAAAGTTTAAGCCCAATTTCAAAGCCCATTATGACTTTTTATGCTACAGGTTAGGAAAAAGCCCAATTTGAAATGGTTTAGAAATATGCGGATCTAAATATGAAATACATGGCCCGAATTGGAAATCGGGTCAGGAGAACTAATTTGATCACTAATATAATATGATAGTCACTGTTGACGACCAAAGAGCAAGAATGAGCCATCACATGTACACAGAAGTACTGTGAGTATAGTGTACGAATATTATGCCTCTATAAATAGGAGCAAATTAAGGCCATATATAGGACTTTAAAAACAGAAAAAACTCGTACAAAGCAAAATGTCACATTGTACATTCAAAATTGGTAATTCAAACTTAATTTATAATTCTCAATATTTTTATTTTTTATATTTGAATAATTATTTATTATGTTTGGTAAAAATCCACATAGACATGGCCAAATGGCAGGCCAAAGCAGGGGCGAAGCCAGCCTCAAATTTCACCGGGGTCGGCAATATTTTTTAGCGGGGATTAACCTAGTAAACAGTGTTTGAACAGTATTTTATACTAAAAATTTTGAAATCCATAGGGGTCAGCTGAGCCCAGCAAGAAAATGTGGCTCCGCCACTGGGCCAAAGGTTGGGTTAAATGGACCCTGAATCGGCACAGCCTAGGTCCGTGTCAGATCCATGACCCGACTGGGCCCGCTCGAAAAGAAAAAAATTAAAACCAATGTGTTTTTCTCGGTCCATCACGGACCCGGCCAACCCGACCCGGAAGGCCAGGGTCGACAAAAACAAGGCCCTGGACCGACCCGTTGAAATTCGAGCCGGGCCCGAACCCGCGGGCAAAATTGTAAGGTGAGAGGCTCATAATCTTTTTGCAATCAGCCAACAGATCATAAAAAGACAGTCTCATCTACTTGCCTTAAAAATTCAGTTTTTAACAAGAAGATATCACTTTTTATTTTGGTGCATCTATGAATACCTTCTTTTCACAATTAATTTGACCCTTGACAAATATTTTTATTTACCATTACTTTATTTATCAATATGCTTGTTGGGCTTTATATTTTCATTATTCATCCATAGGTTTACACTGGATAATTAATTTGTTCATGAAATTCCGAATTCTGTAATAAAATGAGATCTATAATTAAGTAGAAGAAAAGTATATCTCATGTCTCTCTTAGAGATTTTCCCTAATAATAATTTTTTTATCTAGGTTATGAAAATCATAATAATAATTATCGATAATTTAAGGCAAAAGTTTAATTTTGGTTCAATTTTGGTACATTAACTTTTCACTTCATCAATATTAGTACTTTATGTTACAATTTGTATCACGATTGGGACATTATCACGAAAAATGGTTCATTATTCTTTGAGATTAATGTCCTAAAAATAATACAAAATGCAACATTACATACAATTTTTTTATGAGTAATGTCCCAAAAATGATACAAATTGCAACATAACGTACTATTATTGATGAAGGAAAAATTAGTGCACCAAAAAAATGATTTTAGACAAGTAAACAGACCAAAATTGAAAATTTTCCATAATTATACTACTATTAAAACTTAAAATTATCATTATCAATAATACTATTTTGTAAGAACTTTTTAATAGTTACTAGTAATTAATTTTTTTGAGATACTCGAATTTGAGGTATTATTATTCGAAGCTTGCATTGCTTAAAAGGGAAGGTCTATATAGTCAATTGTTTATGATTGAATATCACTTAGCGCACATGGTTAATATAATACATCTACAAATTACCCAGAGAAATTATGAAGACAAAATTAGGGAAATACTACAATCCCGAGAATAATTCGTCGGAGTTTGCAACTATTAAATCATTATGTAATCGTCGGGATAGTAAATCTAATAGTTACAAATTTCAACAGAATAATTCCGTAATAGTATAAAATTATTGACTTACATATATAGTGGCACTGTAATCAAGGGACGGCGGGATATGGTTTTTCTTTGCCAAAGATTTTCGCAATTGAGCCTTTTTTTTTTTATTATTTTTTTTAATATTGAAATATTTAAAACTTACAAATTCTTTCAAATGACATGGAATTTTGCCAGGTACTAATTAAATTATAGAATTCATTATTTTGACCTTTCGTCGATAAGTTGACCAAATTGCGAGATCATGCATTTGGTATAAGCAACTTAAACTCAATTTATAATTTTTTTATATTTAAATAAATTTAGTTTAATAGATTGAATTTTGAAAAAAAAAAAAGCTTATCTTATGAGATTTTTCTATATTGTTCAGAAAAGTTATGAAAAAAAATTATTACGATATAATTTACCAAATATTTGTATTAGATCAACTAGTTTTTAATTAATAGGCATAATCTATTAATTATAAATCCGAAATTTATTTATCCGCAGTTATTAGCTTGTTACCTAACTTTACCCAACAACATCTAAAGTTGATAGTTAAAAAAAAAGGGTGATTCTACGGTCCAGTTACGGAACCATTCCGTCTGGGTTTGTACCGTTAGATCAACTATCTTTGACGGTTACATAATAATTTCACGGTTACAAACATCGACGAAATAGTTCCGTAACGGGACCGTAGCATTTTCCAAAAACAAAATCAATTTTTTTTAAGGAAAAAAGAAAAAAAAAAAAACAGTTTTTTCACTACACATTTAGAAAAATTATATCAACTACTACACATTTATGTCCCCATTAAACCCCATTAAGCCACGCGTGCAAGATTCCACAGGAGCTATATATGTAACCTGAAATGAAATAAAATGAAATGAAGACAAATTTGTAGACAAATGCTTTGAACAAATTAAATTATTTTCAAAAAATCAAGTGTGATCTATTGACTATTGCAAAAAACATTTTACTACTAAATAAAAGAGTTCAACAAAATCTATAACTTTATTTATGGTTAGATCTTGTCCTTATCTGCATTAGGCTGTCATATTACTTTAATGAATATGTATAATTTTATTGACAAATATCATATTTTGTTTTTTTTTTTTTAAAAAATATGACATTCGATAGTATATAGTATACGTATTTTTGTTCAAATAGTATGGTTGTTTAGCGCTAATTGGTGCCGATTAACAGGTGCCATTCTTAATGTCCTAATCCTCTGCTTTGAAATCACTTAGAAACCCATGAAAATCGGACAGATTTATCAATCGATGATTGAACTTCGCTTCGAAAAGTTTGTTAGGTCATTTATGATTCAGTCCATAAGCTTAGAGAAATGTGGCTAATTGTTAGTCGTTGTACACAAAAAATTATATTATATATATATTAAGATTTTCCAATCATTTTTAGTAAAAAGCCTAAAAAGGAAGAGTACATGTTAGCTAGGGTAAAATTTTATTTTTGGTCTATTATATTGACAATTTTTTAAAAATGGTCCAC